TTTCTTTGGGATTGGAATGAAAACTGACCTTTTCCAGTCCTGTGGCCACTGCTGAGTTTTCCAAATTTGCTGGCATATTGAGTGCAGCACTTTCACAGCATCATCTTTCAGGATTTGAAATAGCTCAACTGGAATTCCATCACCTCCACTAGCTTTGTTCGTAGTGATTCTTCCTAAGGCCCACTTGACTTCACATTCCAGGATGTCTGGCTCTAGGTGACATCAAAAGACACTTTTGTTAGTATTTCTCCTGGTCAGGCGATATGTGCTTTAATAATTGAATATATGTGTGTGTATGCTCAATCGTATCCAACTCTTTGTGACTCCATGGACTGTAGCCCACCAGGCTCCTCTGGCCATGGAATTTTCCAGGCAAGAATACTGATGGGGGTTGGGAGGTTGTCATTTCTTATTCCAGGAGATCTTCCTAACCCAGGGATTGAACCTGTGTCTCTTGTATCTGCTGTATTGGCAGGTGGACTCTTTACCGCTGTACCACCTGTGAAGACCAGTATTTTGATAGGTTCTAACAAATTATGCACATCTCACTGTCACTGATTTATACAAAAATCAGTACATGGTAGTCTTGAGGAGACATACATTCTGCAACTTGTCCGCCTACCTGGGTTGGAGTATATGTTCAAGAATAGATTGGGTGGTCAGCCTGCTGCAGATGGCAATATGATATGGGGTATGAAATTAACAGTTGCTGACAGCTAACAAATCTCTGTAATACAGCCTTGGGGAATTCTTTGGAGAAGTACTAGAAACCTCCTTAGTGTGCTATGGCCTCCAAATGAGGCTCATTTGGCCTTGAGTTCTTCCAAAAATTAGAGTATTTTCCAGATGAGCCTCTGTACCAAAGCCTCTGCAGGACTTTTAGTTATTCTCCCTAAGCACCCTGGCCCCATCTTTTTGAGACTTACCACTGGGCACTTCTTCTCTTTCTTAAATCCAGTTATGTCCAGAATGTTCCTAGCTGGGGTGGCCCGGGTTCTGCTGTGAGCCTTTGCTGATGGTCTCAGGATATAAATTGGGTTTTTCCACTGAATAAAAAGATCCCCCCTATCTGGAGGGGGACACAGCTGAAGGTAAAAAGAGTGGCCAGTGGCAAGCTTCAGGCGGAGCTGTTTTTTTTTTTTTACTGTTATGAATGGATATCTCTACGAACTTTAAGGGAAGCAGCCTGGTTAGCTCTAAAACCTGTGTAGCTCTTTACCTCTCTCCCGGACAGCAGGGCTGGGCCTGTTAGAGTCGTCACAGGTAGCAGCTGGTGGGGCCAGCAGCATGACATCCGGCAGTGTGAGGTGGGGGCTGGTGCCAGCGACGCCCACAGTCACCTTTCGGGCGCGGTTGTGCAGATCCATCACTTCTCCTTTCCTGCTGACCTGTGTGAAGTCACTCTCACACACTGGTGCACATTGGAATATAGGGTACTCCCCCTTGTACACTTGTTGCTGCAGTTTCCCCACGGAGGTCTTAAACATACGCATGGCAAGACTGCTTTTGGCTGTGTAGTATGCTAATGTACACTGGCTGTTCTTCAGTAACTTTTGTCAAGATAGCTCCTGGAGCCTCCTCCCACCGTCCTTACCACACCTCGCAGGGCGTCCTGTTTCCCTGGTCTCTCCAGCAGTTGAGCTAACAGTGGTCTCCTGCAGACTTTGCCTCTGAGTGCCTGAGGGCAAGGTGTGGGAGCTGATTACCGACTACTCAGTGCTAGAGGCAGTTTCTCCTGGCCCTGACTGTGCCCTGCCTAGAGCACAGAGATGTCAGGACATGCGGAAGCCAGGCCTCCAGTAGATGTCAGGGTGTGCAGATATAAAGGTGTGCGGTTATCAGGGTCCCAGTATGTCAAGGTGCACAGATGTTTAGGTGCACAGATATTGGTATTCAGTCATAATACATTGGAATATAGGGTACTCCCCCTTGTACACTTGTCGCTGCAGTTTCCCCACGGAGGTCTTAAATATACGCATGGCAGGACTGCTTTTGGCTGTGTAGTATGCTAATGTACATTGGCTGTTCTTCACTGACTTTTGTCAAGATAGCTCCTGGAGCCTCCTCCCACCATCCTTACCACACCTCGCAGGGCGTCCTGTTTCCCTGGTCTCTCCAGCAGTTGGGCTAACAGTGGTCTCCTGCAGACTTTGCCTCTGAGTGCCTGAGGGCAAGGTGTGGGAGCTGATTACCGACTCCTCAGTGCTAGAGGCAGTTTCTTCTGGCCCTGGCTGTGCCCTGCCTAGAGCACAGATATGTCAGGACATGTGGAAGCCAGGCCTCCAGTAGATGTTAGGGTGTGCAGATATAAAGGTGTGCGGTTATCAGGGTCCCAGTATGTCAAGGTGCACAGATGTTTAGGTGCACAGATATTGGTATTCAGTCATAATCCATTGCATCTCTCCTCTAGAAACTGTACCCTTCAACTAAGCCTAAACTACCTTGAGGGCCCCTCTTATCCTCTCCCGCACTGTAACCTGGGCTCACCACACAGACCCTTGTCCATGTCATGCAACAGTCCCGCCCTCAGGGCAGATCACTGTCCCCTCTACTTCACCCATCCTCCTCACCAGGCCACACTGCCACAGCTCAGAACACCACTCCCTCCTCCCCGGGCCCATCTAAGGATCTTAATACTTACTGACAAATTGCTTTCCAAAATGGTTGGGCAAACTTTCTGTTAGGTATGAGTTTAAAATATGCATGCTCTCTTAACCAGCACTTTTAACTGCCAACAATTAGAGTTAATTGTAGGCAAATTACCTTAAAGACAGTTGGACAAGTTGGTAAACAAGCTGGATGTATAGAATGTTTATCAAGGTTTATTGTGGCAAAAACAATCATAAACAAGGTTAATATCTTATAATAAGGATTTGGTTAAATAGATTATGGAGCATTCTGTGAAAGAATACTCTGAAGCCATAAGAATGATTATGTAGTTCCTTATTTATTGAAATGAAAAGATATACCTGGTAATATTCTTTTAAGAAAAGATAAAAGCAAACATTTCAGACTAGGTTTATACCTGTGATCCAATTTATGTAAAATCATCCATATGTGTGTTTGGCTATGAAATTGCAATATGTTCAACCTAATGTTTAAAGTGCTTGTCCCTGGATGATGTAATTTTTATTTTCTTTATATTTCCTATTTTCTCTTAGGATACTTATTTACTTCTATTAATGGGATGAATTAAGCTACTTTTATTAAAAATATTTTTACAGCCATCAAAAATTTTATGTTTTGACCTACCCTCAAGTTGCTAAGATTTTCCCTAGACATCTGTACCCTAACTGTACAGTGGAAACAGCCTTGAACATCATTTGTATGCTCTTGTCTTTACTCACAAATTGGCTTATTAAAGAAGTAGTCAGAAATTTTGCTATTATAAATATTATAAATTCAGTAAGATTAAAATATACTTATTGGAATGACAATTTACATAACACACACATACATATACATGTAAAGCCATATTTTTTGAGTTTTTTGTCTGTTCTGTAAGTAAAAACGAACACTTTCTTCCCTTCATATTGAAGTGTCTGGTTATTTCTGGAAATATGAACACTTTGTTCTTTTTTTAATTTTTTAAATTTTTTTCCATTTATCTTTATTAGTTGGAGGCTAATTACTTTATAATATTGTAGTGGTTTTTGTCATACATTGACATGAATCAGCCATGGATTTACATGTGTTCCCTGTCCTGAACCCCCCTCCCACCTCCCTCCCCATCCCATCCCTCTGGGTCTTCGCAGTGCTCCAGCCCCGAGCACTTGTCTCATGCATCCAACCTGGACTGGTGATATGTTTCACACTTGATAATATACATGTTTTGATGCTGTT